AAAGTGAGTGTTTGGGTAAAGTCTGAGGATCCCAACTCATGATCCTGTCTTCAGAGTTTTTATGCATGTGTTCTTTTGACCCAAGAGACTGATTACTATACTGTTAAACTGGCATGTCGTAACTTATACAAAGTATAAAAGCACGAAAAATGAAGAATGAAGGATAAGTATGAATGATATCCCGTCCTAAGAAAATGCTTGCATGAATAGGTGATAATAAGTGGAATGTGTTGGCTCTAATAATGACATAGACATGCACCCACTGCATGACCCTCAAACTAACACCTAAACGGGGAAAACTGATAACCTGATAGGGCAAGGAAGTGTCAAGAGAGTGTGAGGAGTTTGAGTGTTCAACTGTTGGTGCCAAATTAGAACTTGTCTGGTTGGTTCTGCAAAAGGAATATGTGTTAGACGACTAGGAAAGGATCATAGGCCCTTGTTGGAATTAGCAAACATCTAGCCTAAAATAAAATGAACCAAATGAAAGAATTATCCATTTTTGATCCAAATTTGTTGAGTCTATAATAGACCTTTCTTTTTTTCACCAACTCACCTTCCCTGGTTTAATGTGTTGCCATGGTCCCTCCTTGGACATGTGCACCTCGACTTAGGCCAAAAGCCTAAGTTGAGGGTGGCTAATACAAAAACAAACCTTGTCTTGGCCCTGACCTAACCTTGGGTAATCTGTACCTTGACTCATGGCAAAAGCATAACTTGAGGGTGGCTATTATGAGTAATGACCCGAAATTGGGTATGAAAAGAGTTTAATGTGGAAAAGAAAAGAGAAAGTGAGCAAAAGATGTGACTCGGTAAAATTATGAAAAAAATAAATGAGTTGAAATGGAAAAAGTAGAGAAAAGAAAGAAAAAAAGTGAATAAAATGAGGTGAGAATCATATCCACAAAGAAGAAAGGGTAAAGCAAGACAAAGATGAAAAGAGGAGAAAAGTAGGGCATAAAAGACAATGGAAGAGGTAGTAAGCTTGGTCGTAATGTCAAGGAGGGCAAAAAGTCACTAACATGTACCCATATGTACCATACATGACCCTGAACCTACGTACAAGCCATGAAAGTCCTATCATGATCCTAGAAGTCTAGTGTGGTGAACTTAAGCAATGAAAATAAGGGCAAGCCTATGGCGACAAGTACTAGCTATGCATGAACTTGTTTTTGAGTGCGAGTGTTGAATATAGATCCTTGTACCCAAAGTTAAAATCATTGTGCGAAAAAGGAGGATTTCTTTTAAGTAGAGGCACTAGTTGCAATGTCGGAAAGTTGGTACCTTGGTTAGAGGCAAAATAGTAGAGGTATCGCTGCATGGTGTGTTTGTGTCATGGTCTGATCCACATGAGTTAGCTTGTCAAACCTAAGAGCGTAAACATGCACTAAGGCAAAGAAAAAGTCGGTATTGAAAGTCATGTGATTGCGAGAGCTTAAAAGAGTATACTTTTGTACGAAGTGTTGTTTTGAGTCATACTGTGTCGCTTGAGGACAAACAACGAATTTAAGTTGAGGGTGGTGATGTACCGTGGTTTCATGGTGTTTTTCAATGCTTTTTCCAGTTATGTGTGTCTAGAGCCTTTTTTGTAGTAGTTAAATATGTTTTTATGTTTGTTTTGCAGGAAAGATGTCCAGAAAAAAAAACGTAGAAAGCAGCTGAAATAAAGTGCAGAAGCGTCTCACGAAGGCCATCGAATGTCCGTCGTTCCATCGACGGTCCGTAGATGGTGACCGTCGACTGAAATTCAGGCAATTGGAGAAAACTCGTGGAAATCTGACCAAGTGTGGGGCTACGAAGAGGATCGACGGACCATATTGTTCAACAGTCCATGAGATCAGAGATAGTCCGGTACCGGAAGTTGGAAAAATTCTAAAGATGGAGCAACGGAGGGCATCGACAAATCGTAGACTCATTGACAGACCGTGTTGTTGATCTGTCGACTGATTCAGAGAGGATGCCATCTGAAGGACGAAAAATGATTCTAAGTCTGGACTGACGGAGACATTCGACGGTCCGTCTGTGGGGCTTGTTGATTACAGCCGCATTTTTGGACAACTTTCCCTATTTTAATTCTTTTAATGTAGGACAACGGTTTCTAGAAATAGGGTTTAAGAGCTCGTTTTTGGGGTTAGACAATATTTTTGTTTTAGTTTGTGTTTGGAGATTGGGTTTTGCAAACTTGAGCATTAATTCAATTCTCCGATTTGGTTTTCAAGGTTTTCTTGCTAATTCAAGTTGATTTTCTGGATTTTATTTGAATTGTCAAAGTAAGTTTATGATTTCATTCTTAACAACTATGAATTGTATTATTATTAGCATAGGTAACTAAATCCACAACCAGGGTTGTGGGAACCATGGGTAATTAACAAAGTAAACAAAGCTAAATAACAATTCTCAAATAGGATCTTGCACGTATTGATAATTCTTTCATCTAGAAGTCTTTTTAACTGGGGCCAACGTTAAAACTCGTCTTCTTGCTACTTGCCGAACCAATGAAGTAGTTAATAAGAAAGGAATTATCAACATAGATTTAGTGGGATACTATATAAGAGGCTAGTGTTGATTGGTGCGAAGTAACAACTAAGCCATACATCGATTATGATGCTTAATATGAGGTAAACTTAAGGGTTAGTAGTGTATACACACGTAGACGGACCAAGGCGCAGGGTGAAATTCTCTAAATGTCAGACCAAGGATTTAGAGATACCTAACTTATCACTTTGCATGCAAATCAATATGGAAGAATTGTTATAGCTACGAATACGACGTTATGATCTTATGGGGAACACTTACACCCTAGTTTCTCTCGTAACTTGATAAAAACTGAGTCTTCGCTCTTATTTACTTGTTTTGCTTAGAATTGCTAACAAATATTTTTGTCACAACCCCCCCCCCCTTTAATTACTTGCTTGTGGAAAGAACTTGACTAAATAGCAATAATTATCCATTAAAGTTAAGTCTAAATCATTTTCCTCGTGGGATTGACCCCAACCTTCTAATTGAGTTCTATACTTGAGACGATCGCTTATACTTCTTTAGGGAGGTGTAATTTGAGCATATCAAATTTTAGATGGACTAGGTCGTTGTAAACTGGAATATCATACTTGGGTCTAATAGTATGAGCCTTATCTTAGGCATTTATGCTTCTTGATAGTCTTTCTGTCTCCTTTCCTTTTTTGGGGGGCTATGACGTGTTACACGAGATAGTGTTCTCTCTCGGGATCGGAGTGCTTATGTCTTTGAGCCTTTTATGATATCATTGAGAATGGACGTTGACCCACGGTGGCTTAGAGCCTACTTGAGAACCTTTTCGTAGCTGATGTGTGCCCAGGCACTCTTACTAGATGGAGGACTGATCCCCCCCCCCCCCCCAGGAGTGGGCTTAGCAAGCTGGATGGATTGGATATCTCAAATCCTTTACAGAGTTGATATGCCCCGACACCCTCTTGCTAGCTTGGCGGTTGACGCCTCTAGGACTTGATTGTAAGATTGGGCAGCCTAGGTTGATTGTTAGTCTTGCTAGTTGAGCTAGGAGTAAATTGGTTGAGTTGATAGACACTCCTGCTAGCTGGGTTGGGGAATTGATAGGTTTTTGTTTTCTTGGGTTGGGATGATGACTAATGGTCTTTGATTTAGATTTGGGATACTTTTTTGTCTTGTGGACTTAGCTATTCTATGTACTTTTCGGTCTTATGGGGTCCCATTCGGGTTTTATTTTAACCTTCATATGAGTGAGCCTTCTGGACTTACTGGGTCAAGTTATGTTTAGTTTAGTTGAACTTATATTTACTTTCGGTATGCTCGTCGTGTGCCTTATTCATATCCACTTTGGCCTTTGTTTCTTTCTAGATTCTATCTAATCAAATTGTCTTAACCTTTTTTCCTCAGTCAGAGTATGATACCTATGCAGTACATTTGTTTTGGTGCTTATGTTTTACTCTACATCTTTTTGTGGTGCAGTGCCTAGTACCAGCTACCAACGATTATTGTTTTTTTCCATCTTTTGCAGTTTGTGGATATCGGAGACGACGGTGAGCAGTAGGCATATGTAGCTTGTCTTTTGCCTTTAAGACAACTTGTTGTGACTAGGCATATGTTAACTTGACTTTTGCCTTTGAGACAACTTGTTGTGGTCCACTTTTTGGACCTGTGATGTATCATGGACTACTGGCACATTTGACGCTCAAAACTAAGGATTAAGGCTAGAACTGGAGTAGTTTTATGTGGATATGATGTGTTTGTTGATGATTGAACAGGTAAAACACTTGAACGTGAAAGATAGCAAAAAGAAAACAAGGTAAAGTTGAACAAAGCATCACGGAGCCACAGACAAGCAATGGTCATGATGATGAGTCATTTGAGGGTTCGGGAAGTTGAGGCAATGATTTTAATTTTTTGTGGTTGATGTATATGTTACTGATATATTGTAACACCAACAAATGACAAAAGAGGAGATGGTCGAATATGTTGATTTGGACTCACCACATTCACCTGGGAATCCACAAAACAATAATTGCCCAGGTTTTAATATTCTCAAGAAGTAAGCTCACACCATTTAACTGTAGAAATTACTACAAGGCTATGACTACATATGGAACTATATGCCATTGTAAAGTAAGATAAATACTTCCACATTCTTCGAAAAAAATATACCTTTGGTATCAAGTGATGGTGGTGGTGTGGCAGTGATGGGTTGTGGAGGAAGGGTCGGAAGGAAAGAGAATGAAGTAGGAATAAAAAAATAAAAATTTACTAATTTGAAGCATTTCACCGCACCCTAAAGCAATGCTATACACACATACCAACTCAGAAAAAAGTGTCAAAATGACACAATAGACCTTGACATGAGGTGCTTAAAATGAACAAAGCTCAATTGAGATACCAGTTGATGTCAACTTCAGGTGGCCGCCAATAGGTTCAGCCTATTCAAAACGGTAACATATTTGTGTCACATTTCATAATTTTAATTTGATCAGTCATTTGGCCAGAAATGTATATATGTGTGTTGTGTGATGCTAAGGTAGCAGCTATTTCAGTAAATCTTCATATAGGCAGAGTTCAAGAATGGGAGGTATTAGTCACCATGAAAAAAAAAAAAAAAAAGAACTCATCCCAAAGCTTATTTACATCAGGGACTCAACTCAAGTCACCTCTTGAAAGATTTACAACATAACATTATGCAAGCAAGATTTTTACAGTTGAAAATTCTCACTTCGTTACTGGATGGACATTTGTTGGATATACAATTCTGCTTCAAGTTATAGACAACAGTTCCATGACAGCCAATGAATGGGAACTAACTAATCAATGCCCAAATTTGAGTAAGGCTCAAAGCCTCCCTGACAAGTACAAAGAAGAGTGGCAAGGTTAGCTAAAACTCATACTGAACATTCTCCTCAAGGATATATATAGACACTACTATTAAAGCTAAAACATGAAACTGAAATTAAAATTAGAGTTCATGGAAATATTTGAGAGATGTTAAAATGCATAATACTGACACCAAGTCTTGCTGGCATTATGATTCTCAATTAAAGTTAATAAAATCATACAAGTGTTACACAGCCTTTAGAGTTATTTAAGTTTCCTAACTCATGCTAAACCATTTAAGAATCTCGTAGATCATAATGTGTGGAGTTTTATGTTACTACTGCAAGTTTAAATGTAACCAGATTTTCCAAGAGAAATTTCAAAAACATATAAGGATCGTGTAAAAGGATGTAGCCTAAATCAAGCAGTTGCAAAACTTGATAACGTTAACAAGGAAACAGAATATGTGTGATTGTTTCTCCAAGTCCTTTTAAGAATGTCATTCTACTTTTTTGTTTTAAAAAATGAGGAATGATTTTCTTGTTCTCCTAGTTTTTTACTCAAAAAAGCACCCTTTTTTTTCGGAGAATTGGTAAACATAAAAAACACCCTTTTTCTTAGAGCATTATTCTGCAACTCGGAATAGAAAGGAAAATACTTACTAAGGGAAGAGTATTAACACCATTCTTTAAGAAGTTCATCTAAAAATTCAAGCATAGACTTACCGCACAGTCATCGTGGACACGCCAAATGGTTTCACCCAAGAGGTTTGCCACAGATAAGATGGTCAACTGGGGGAAATAGTTCTGTTCTGCAACCGGGATGGTATTTGTGATGATTACCTCCTGAAACAGTCCACTCGACAATCTCTCTATTGCAGGAGGGCTGCAAAACATTAGATTAAGATTCAACATAAACAAGTTCTGCAATATATCTCAAGTACCATGCAAAGTTGGGCAGCTTAGCATCTTAAAGTCAAAAGCCATTTATTGAAGGACATAATGCAAACAATGCTCAAATTCCCTTGTGACTTATCTAATTAAGAAGAGCAGGATTTGGATGAAAAAGTTGTCCTTTTTCCCTAAAACGTTTCTGTTAGTAATTGATGCAGTTCCTTTTATCTTCTCAAAGGAAATTGACATAATTCCAAGAATTGAACAAGAGCTTACATTTTTGAGATCCACTGAGTACACATCTTATATTGACAAAGATCCCTCAGTACACATCTTCAACACCACTAACTAAGGAACAGATGTGACTAAAAAATTCCAGACTGTTCATGCTGAGGAACTTTTTTCACTAGAAGTAGCAAGCTCAGGATTGATGCAATGTTCCAAATTCAGGCAAAACATACATAAGTACCTGAAAACCGCGTGAGTCGTGCATGCATAAACTTCCCTGGCTCCTTCTTGATGCAAAAGAGCAGCTCCTTTTGCAATAGTACCTCCAAAACAATTAGCAGTATTAACGTCAAAAATGTTTATAGATTGACTAGGAATAATAGTCTCATAAATTATAAACCAACTAACCCAGCCAAGAAAAAAACGGGGGGGAAAAAATGAAACGGGATATTTGGTTACTAGAAAATCACTTTAAGAAGAGCATATCAAAACAATGCCTAAGCAATTAATAGCAAGTGGTATCACATGTAATAACAGTTTTTGAAAATAACTAATGGTGAGACATCGCCTCATATCGAACAAAAGGGGTGAAAATAATATTGGAGGATCTTTTTTGAAACTGACATATTATTATTGGAGGATCTTTGCTTTATAATTTAACTAAACTTGAAATAAAACTGAAAAACCCTGTAACAGACTAAAGAAGACGCAAAATGGCTTTCACACAAAACAAAAAAAGGAGAAAGAACTGTAGAAAATAAGACCACAAAGGGAAAACAAAAGGAAAATACTAACCAGCCGTATCAATCATGTCATCAACCATAACTGCCACTTTTCCCCTGACATCACCAATCAAATTCATTACCTGTGGTCAGAGAGCAGAAGTGAGTGCCCACAGAAAAACATATTAACAGGCACAAATAATAAAATTATGCAGTATGAAAGGACTGACACATGCATTTACGATGTCATATGTAAAAAGATTCCAGTACTTGGTCTAGCATGTTCAGAATATGTAATGATACATAGACAGACAGAATTATAATGTCGAACAAGGTGAGCTAACTAAATAGTTAAAGGGCATAGTGGGTGGCTTATATGGACTGAACATAGATAGGGAACTCAATTCCCAAAAACAGGGATGAAGAACCTTTAATGTTTGTGAAGAGGAGTCATGTTGTATATGAAATTGAAAAGTGATGCTTAAGTTGCGAGTTGTTGCAGTGAGAAGAACATGAGCCTCAATACTCAACCCGTCTCATTCAAGGAAAGAAAACAAATCTTATTTCGACAGTTTAATAGCAACCATGCATTTAATAGAACTTGCAATTTTAATTTGTAAATCACCATAGGAAATATTTAAATAAAATTGCAACAACATACCCAGTAAAAATTTTAAAAAATAGAACCACAAAAATATCATCCTAAGCAATAGCAAGGAAGTTAGCATGTTGCCCAAATTACAAGCATCTTTAGCATGTTTACAATTCAGTGTTAGATTTTGAATTCCCCATGTTAACAATTCAGTGTAAAGCTGATATACAATAAAACATAGAAATTATTAGAAGTTTGTTCTTCACGAAAGAGTTTATAGCAACAAAACAACAAATATCCCAAACAAACCTCAAATGCAATCTATAAAGAATTTTTTTTTTTAAAAAAAAAGGGGGGGGGGGGGGGGATTTAGGGTGTAAAAGAAACCTCAATAAAATAGTATAAACCAGATTACCTCAGCAACATTGTGTCCATGACGCCTTTTATCCACGATAGCTAGGGGTGCATCAGACAGCTTCTTGGCAAAAGCTCTTGCCCTTGCAACCCCCCCAACATCAGGAGATACCACAACTAGATCATCAGAGCAGATAGTCTTGCTCGCAAGGTAGTCAAGTATGACAGGCTATACATGCAAACACACAAGAAATAAGGATACAAATTAATCCACGTTATCCAATTTCCAATGAAAGGAAAGTCTTCTCTTCAAATTTTCTCATTTTGTAACATCATACCTAGTACCAGCACTATTGATGCTAAAGTTAATGTTGTGGCTATGGACAAATTACCTGGCCAGGTACATGATCCACTGGAATGTCAAAATAGCCCATTGACTGGCCAGAATGGAGATCACAAGCAAGGACTCGATCTGCACCAGCTTCTGTTATCAGATTTGCTACAAGTTTGGCGGCAATTGATTCACGACCTTGAGTCTGCAAAACGATTGGGTATTTGAATGAATTAGATAGTTAATAACTTGAGTTGATTTCCCCAATCACTGACCAGAAGAAAGCTCAAGTTCCCCTCCCCCAACCAATTTCATTGTTCCATCCGATAAACTTCACCCAAGGACGGACTTTGTTCGACCCGGCCTTTCTTGCTTAGCTAATGCTACGTCGCAAGCAACCCCTCAAAGAACTAGGAGTGAATGACCGTCTATCTAGATCGGTGATTCCATTCGGCCTATCCAGCTATTGGAAACAGATATTCATTGGATAAAAATGAGAACATGCCATTGATTTTCCGAACACAACCATGATTTTCTGAACATAACAATAATGTTAATAATACAACAACAACAATAAGAATAATCAGAATACGTCTTCTAATACCTAACTCTTATTCATCATGATCAAAAACAGAAATAGCTTCAAAAATAAGCATTCATGACATATTCAATCACATCATAGTTAGAGAAAAGTCATCATACTTAATCTTATCAACTATGTAGTTAAACTAATCAAGGTTAGGGCCAAACTAAGAAAATAGACATTACCTATTTGACACACTCAATCTGTTAAACATTTTTTATCGCCATCTTACCACCTTAGCTTTTAGCAACAAAATTCAATATGAGATAATAAGTTTTCATTGGAAAAGAATTATGACATACTCGACCATTCATTTATCATTTTATGGGAAGCTGCGTAAAATACCTTACGATCAGCACGGGCATACCCAAAGTAAGGAACCACTGCAGTGATATTTTTGGCTGAGGCCCTACGACAAGCATCAATCATTATCAAGAGTTCCATCAGATTTTCATTAGCAGGAGGACAGGTAGGTTGGACAAGATATACATCACAACCCCTAACACTCTCTTGTAACTGGACATAAATCTCGCTATCAGCAAAACGTTTAATCATTATCTTTCCAAGTTCCAAACCCATGTTGCTAGCAATTTCCTATGGAACAGGAAGCAATCCATCAGTAATGACGCATAAGAAAACATAGACACAACGATATCATCCCAGAAGCTAAGATAGTAAAGCAAGATTTTATTTACTAATTAGTTTATTGATATAGTAAAATCCAACTCACAGGAACCCCTTGCCCAGGAGTCCATGTGTGACCTTTCCTCAACAGTCCTTGATAACTCGAATCTGCAAATAAGGAGGGTATTTACCATATGCTATTGACCAAGCAAAACTAAATACTTGTATTTTAGCAATACTCTTTCTTTTATTTAATTATATGATAAAAGAGTGGAACTATGTTGTTTTGCATTGTGTTTTGTCGAACTCTCTTATAACCTTCAGAACTTTAAAGGTTGTCTTAGATGATGTTGAGGAATTAACAAATATAATTGCAGTACATTGAAGAAGTTACTACAATTAGTTATTAGTTAGTTACATAACAGATTAGTTAGTTAGTTTTTTTATTAGTTAGACTTAACAATGAGTAGTTAGTTAAGTTGATTAATTACAATTAGTGATTAGTATAAATAAATCAATTCACAGATGTACAAGATATAAGAGTGTATAAACATTTTGTAGAGATCACGTTTTTTTCTCTCTAAACTTTCTTCTTCTTCTTCTTTTCTCCTTCTTAATACAAATTTCAGTTGTTTTCTGCATATTTCCATGTTGAATTCTGAATTCTAACATGGTATCAGAGCTTTAATCAAGTGAATCTAGGGAATTCCTTCGTGGATTGATTGGAAATTGAGATATTCCTTTTGTTTACTGTTTTTTTTTTCTGCAAATTTGTGCTTGATTCTGATGGAGATTAACGAAGCTGTCATTGATACTCATACCAATACTACTGTCATTGATACTAATCGATCTAAGGATCAATTTGGTATTGATTACCATCATCCTTTGGTGCTTCATGCTTTTAATGCTCCCAGCTCAATGTCAATTGGTATGCCACTTGTTGGGATGGAAAACTACTCAATCTGGCGTGAAGCTATGCAACTTTCATTGTTGACTCGTAACAAGCTTGGTTTCATGGATGGATCTATTAACAGAGGTACTTTTGCACCTGCTTATGAATTGCTACGGGATCGTTGCAATGCAATTTTAAAATCATGGATTATGCACAATGTAAGTCGAGATCTGATTAATGGAGTTCTATTTCGATCTAGTGCTTATATGATCTGGGAGGATTTACGTGAACGTTTTGATAAAGTTACTGCATCACGAATCATTGGACAAATCCATTTTCTCTTTAGTACAGGGTACTTTGTCTGTTTCTACTTAGAGCCTGTTTGGCTCAGCTTAAAAGCTGGTCAAACTGACTTAAAAGCTGATTTTTGACTTATTTAGCTGTTTGGCAATACTCAAAATAACTTACTTTAAGTTTAAAAAAACTTATTTTAAGCCAAAAGTTAAAAGCTGGGGTAGGGGTGCTTTTTTTTTAGCTTATAAGCTGTTTTAAGTTGACCACATTTTTATCTTTTTGCCCTTAATATTTTTATACAATCTCCAAATTACCCACATAACCCTAACATCTCTTTCTTCCATTTTTCCCTTTTCACGTTTGGCTAGCAACTTCAGCACTTTTATCCAAACACATAACTGCTTATTTTAAAAATAAGTTTCAGCACTTTCAAAAGTACTTTTTTAAAGCTGCTTTTATTAAGCCCATCCAAACGGGCCCTTAGTACTCTAAATTGAAAGATCTTTGGGATGAGTATGATTCATTGATGTCTCCACCTTGTTGTGACTGCACTAAATCCAAAGATTATGCAACACATCTTCAATACCAAAGGTTGTTACAGGTCCTTATGGGACTTAATGATGGATATGCTAATGCTAGAAGTCAGATATTGATGAAATCTCATGTTCTGAATGTTAACCATGCTTATGCAATGGTTTTACAAGATGAAACTCAGAAAATTACAGCAGGTAGTGGAGGTATGGATCCTACTGCTTTATTCACTGCTAGAGGTTCAGGTACTAAGCCTAAGTAATATGGACTGGAATGTGATTTTTGCCATGTCCAAGGACACACTAGGGATAAATGTTTCAAACTAATAAAGTGTAGCCACTGTCAACTCACTGGTCATCTGAAGGAAAAATGTTATAAGCTGATAGGTTATCCACCTGATTTTAAATCAAGAAGAAAAGATCTACATGCTGGTAGTAATTTAGTACAGACTAAAGGGAATACACCAACTACCATACCAGCAACATCTCTTACAACTCCTATGTTCACTCCTGAGCAATACACACGACTTTTGGGATTGCTAAACAATGAAGGAGGACAAAAGGCTAGTGCACACATGGCAGGTATCTCTTCTCATACATCTGAAGTTAATCCTAACTGGATTATTGACACAGGTGCTACCAATCATATGGTTGGTAACTCACATTTATTAGTTGTTGGAACTGAAGTAGGAAACACAGGAAAAGTGCAATTACCTAATGGGGATTCTACTGATATCACACATGTTGGTAACAGTCATCTAGCAGGAGGTGATGTTCTCAAAGATGTGCTCTATGTGCCAACATTTAAGTTCAATCTACTGTCTGTTTCTAAAGCTACTAAACAGTTGAACTGTTGCATTTCTTTCTATCCTGATTTTTGTGCATTTCGAGATCTCTCCAATGGGAGGGTGAAGATGATTGGTAGAGAACAACATGGACTTTACTTGGTGAAAGAACATAAAGACAATAAAAACTCAATTACTAGTCAATCTCTAGTTGCACAGGAGCTGCCAAACTCAAATCTCTGGCATAGAAGAATGGGTCATGTACCCTTACCATTCTTGAAGAAACTTCCTAGTATTTCCAATACATGTAGTAGTATATTAGGCCAATGTGATATATGTCCTATGGCCAGGCAGACTAGACTTCCTTTCAAACACAATCTTACTACATCTGTTACTTGTTTTGAATTGATCCACATGGATATTTGGGGACCTTACAAGAATACTACCTATAATAGCATGAACTATTTTCTTACTCTAGTGGATGATTACTTTAGATGGACTTGGGTTTTTCTACTCAGAGTCAAGTGTGATGTATCTAGTATACTCAAAACTTTTCTTGCTATGATTTTGAATCAGTTTGAGAAACATGTCAAAATTTTCAGAACTGATAATGGTTCAGAATTTTTTAACAATACTTGTGGTGAACTATTCAAAACTCATGGCATCTTGCACCAAAGTTCATGTCCATATACTCCACAACAAAATGGAGTGGTGGAAAGGAGACATAGACATCTCTTGGAGACACCTAGAGCCATCAAATTTCAAGGAAATTTGCCATCCAAATTCTGGGGTTGTTGTGTTGAGGCAGTTGCATATATACTCAATAGAGTACTACTATTTTGAAAGATAAATCACCATTTGAAATGCTTTATGGTTCAAGTACCCTCTTTGTCACACTTGAAGGTCATTGGTTGTCTATGTTATGTAATTGTTATGCCTAAACAGGACAAATTTAGTGCAAGAGCTGTAAAATGTGTATTATTATGATACGGTTTATATCAAAAGGGTTACAAGGTGTATGATCTGTATAAGAAACAGGTCTTTATCAGCAGGGATGTTGTGTTCCATGAATCTTGTTTTCCATTTTTATCTAAAGAACCTACAGAGATTCATTCTATATCATCAAATCATATTTTTTTCCTACATTCTGATTCTTCTGATCTTATTCCTACACCTACACCATTCATTCCTGAACATCCTAACCCTTCTAGTTCTTCTTCTGCTGAACCATCTTCTACTAATGTTGACATTCAGTCTACAGCTAAGTTTCAAACCATTTCCACACTTTCTTCATCTGAGGTTCTTTCTTTTCCTACATCTCGAAAATCCACAAGATCCACCAAACCTCCAATCTGGTTGAAAGATTTTATTGTACCCCACAAAACTCCTAATTCTACTTGTTTATATTCTCTTAGTGATGTTATGAACTATGATTCATTATCTACTACTTATCCTAGTTTTATTGCTAAATTCTCTGTTGATATAGAACCTAAGTCTTATGCTCAGACTGCCGAGGATCCTAGATGGGTTGAGGTAATGGAGTTAGAAATTAAGGCTTTGGAAGACAATCACACATGGGAAATTGTGACTTTACCTACAGATAAAAGAGCAATTGGTTGCAAATGGATATTCAAGATAAAGTATAAAGCTGATGGCACAGTTGACAGATTCAAAGCAAGATTGGTGGCTAAGAGTTATAGCAAACTCGAAGGTCTTGATTATCAAGACACATTTTCCCCTGTGGTTAAAATGGTTACTGTGAGGGTTGTGATTTCCCTGGCTGCTACCAGAAAATGGTCCATTCATCAAATGGAAGTATACAATGCCTTCTTGCAGGGTGATTTGGAGGAGGAAGTTTATATGACTATGCCACCAGGTTTTTTGAAGACCACAAAGCTACTCATGCTTGTAAACTAGTCAAATCTCTCTATGGTCTGAAGCAGGCTTCGAGGCAATGGAATGTGAAATTAACCACATCTTTACTCTCTTTTGGTTTTACTCAAAGTCCTTTGGATTATTCTTTATTCATTAAACAATTTGCAGGGAAGATTGTCATTATTCTTGTCTATGTTGATGATTTATTAATTACTGGTGATGATATGGAAATGATTCAAGACACCAAAATCAATTTGCACTCCCATTATAAAATCAAATATCTTGGATTCTAGGGATTAAATTTGCTAGAAGTACAGCAGACATAGTCATGCATCAGAGGAAATATGCCCTTGATCTTATTTCTGACTTGGGGTTATCTGGAGCCAAGCCAGCTAATTCTCCACTTGAGCTACAAGTGAAGCTTACATCTACTGATCTTTATTGTCTTATTGGTACTAAGGATGATCATTTACTTACTGATATCAGTTCCTATCGAAGACTTGTTGGTCGATTGTTGTATCTAACTCACACCAAACCTGATATTTCGTTTGTTGTGCAGACATTGAGTCAATTCATGCATTCTCCAAAGTTATCTCATATGGTTGCTGCTACTAGAGTTGTTCGATATCTTAAAAAATCTCCAGGTCTAGGGATTCTTCTTTCCTTAGATTGTGATTCCACTTTAACTGCATTTTCTGATGCTGATTGGGCTTCATGTCCCAACACTCGTCGATCAGTTACTGGTTATTTGATCAAATTTGGCTCTTCACCTATTTCATGGAAGTCAAAAAAACAATCCACTATTTCGCGTAGCTCAGCTGAAGCTGAATATCGCAGCCTTGCATCCACTGTAGCTAAAATTGTCTGGCTTGTAGGCTTACTTACTGCACTTGATGTCAAGGTTCCTCTTCTTGTACCATTACATTGTGATAGTAAATCTGTCATTCAGATCGCCTCCAATCTTGTCTTTCATGAGCGTACATAGCATATCGATATTGACTGTCACTTCATTCGCGAAATGATACACACTGGTTTCATATCACTTCATCATCTTTGTACTTCAAAGCAACAGGCTGACATTCTCACTAAAGGCTTAGTTTTTTGTCAACATTCTTATCTTCTTTCCAAGCTAGGAATGAAAATTATTTTCATTGCTCCTAGCTTGAGGGGGGTGTTGAGGAATTAACAAATTGTATTGCAGTACATTGAAGAAGTTACTACAATTAGTTATTAGTTAGTTACATAACAGATTAGTTAGTTAGTTTCTTTATTAGTTAGACTTAACAATGAGTAGTTAGTTAAGTTGATTAATTACAATTAGTGATTAGTATAAATAAATCAATTCACAGATGTACAAGATATAAGAGTGTATAAACATTTTGCAGAGATCACGTTTTTTCTCTCTGAACTTTCTTCTTCTTCTTCTTTTCTCCTTCTTCTTCTTAATACAAATTTCAGTTGTTTTCTGCATATTTCCATGGTGAATTCTGAATTCTAAAAGATGAGTCAAGTGGGACTGTGGGCAGGGGATATTAAACTAACTTAAGTTTCAGTAACTCCAACAACAACATACCCAGTGTAGTCCCACAAGTTGGGTATGGGCCTCTGGGGAGGATAGGATGCACGCAGACTTTACCCTAACCTCTGTGGGGTAGAAAAGTTGTTTCTGATAGACCGTCGGCTCTAAAATGGAGATCAAAACTATATTTAAACAATCCAGTGATGATCTTTCATGTTAAACTTCAATTCATTTTCTTGTCTAGCGACTTCAATTAAGATCTGATAATCACATGCCAGTAACAACTAGATCTCTTATACTCCAGTTGAACTTGAGAGAACAGCCTATTCCTAATAAGCAATACCTAAATTCAAAACTATGTTTCCTTTACTTTAGTTGCTGCACTATGTTTCCTTTACTTAGGTTGCTGCACTATGTATCCATCTCAGTCACCTTTAAACAGAAATCCTAAATATAAAATAAGTACCTGAGAAAGTGCAGGATTGGCAGTCCCAGAAAAAATACGGAGTCTGGTATCAGTGTGACCGTGTGCAACTGGAAATCTTCTTAGCTGATTGGCGTTCAAGAGATTAGAAAATGAAGGGTCTCCATTAACCTGGAGGGGCATGCCTGGTCTCCCATTCTCTTTGTTAAACATTAGTGGTTCCGCCACATTACACCTCTAAATGCGGCAACAATTAAGAGAAGCACGTATAGTTGTCAGGATAGAGTAAATTTTTTCTCTTGTATAAAGTAATTTGGAAAATGAAAGAGAAATTGCTTACTATAATAGAGTTTCGAGCAGCATATCTACAGTGGCAGGTTTTGTTGACATCAAGAAAGCTTCCAGGTAGAGCTAAAGATGCCATTGTCAGTGAGCTGTAATAGAAAGGAGTAGAGAGAGGGGTACAGGTTTTAGGGTTTTGAAAAATATCTCAGTAGCAATCACAATTTGACATTCCACTCGGTTTAGAAATAGTCGATGCCTGGAATGACCATGTACTCTTTTGTTCAATTTATTTTGATATTTTTTTCTTTTAAGTTTGCTTAAAAAAATATTTATTTAATTTCTATTTTCTATATCATAATTCATATGTTTAATACTACATATTAAAGGTCATTTTAATATGTTTAACATATCTTTAATTTCATATCATATAATGTAAAAATATTGTTAAATCAAAATATAATAACAGACTAATAAGAAAGAAATATTAGTTGAAGGGTTTTTTTTAAAGTAAATTTTAGGTTTAGCAAACATAAAGATTATATTTATATGTTATAGTTATAGATTGCATAATTGTATTCCATAATAAATTTTGGGTTAGCTATGGAGCATTAGATTTGTATAAATCCAAGCAGACATGTGTTACCTCTTCTACAATAACTAGCCATGCTTTTTTGGAAAATTGGGCATTGTAAACATCACAAACAGGAGGTTTAAGATCTTCAATGATCTGTAAAGCTTGCAAAATTTCCTCCTGTCTAATTGGACATATCAATTGCAATTGTTGAGTTCTATTCAGTATAGGACCCACAACCATCACAGAATGGTGTATATATGGTATTTCATCAGCCCTGGTACCAAGTAGAGTCTTATAAAATCCAATGACAACTTCAGTATAATTGTAGCAATGCTCCAGTACCTGATACTAGGGCTTGTAATGTAATTTTGGCTTACCCTTTGATTCATAGAAGCAAAAGAAAAAAAGCTAAGTTTGCATCCCCTAGATTGATTATAACCTTGACTTTTGCCTAAGTATACTTTCTTCAACATTACGACACGTTTCTAATCCCACTTTTATATCTATCTCAAGAGCATAGGTATCAGGGTTAGAGTGTTGAGATCTGATATATATTTGGACCGCTTCCGGTTGTCGTCTCAAATCATTTATCCTATTTCCACATTTGAGAACTCTTTCACATTCTAAGATTTCATACTTCCTTTCATGTCTTTGAGTTTTTGACAAATACTTCCCTTAGGTTGTCGCAGTAAAATCTTTAAGTTCGGTCAGAGGATTGAGAAATTTGAAGGGCTTTGATTGCTTCCCATATTTCCCTTCCACTGTAACACACAAAAGTGAGTGGTCTGAAAACTAGGTAGTACCACTTCAAGTTGAGGCCATGTAGTCATCAATAGTAGATTTACTAAGGTCCTATCAGTTTTGCTTAGAACATGGCTGCTAGTCCAGGTATAGAATCTGCCAACGAATTTCATCTTAGTGACCCATATGCTCAATAGGAATTCTTCAAAATCTTTGACTTCTGCATCAGCCAAATGACTACCATTATATATGTCTTCACCTTTCAACACAACATCAAAGTCCCTCATGATTAGCAACGACTGCATTTAGTCACTACCATAGCCCTCTTCGATCATCAATGGTGGGAAGAACCTAGTACTTGAAGATTTCTGAGAACCTTCTTGACATTGAAGGTGTCAGTGATTATTTCCTTAGGATTTTCAATCAAGTAGCTACTATGAGTGATAACTTTAGTAAGGTTTTATTATGAGAAGCCAAACTCCCTATTCTTAGGTGGGCAATGTATGGATGATTAATTTCACAATTGGGTATTGATTTATTGCTTATTAAGTGTTAATCTGATCTGGATTCATCTGTCTCTTTATGATTTCATCAATAGGTTGCAAACTCTTGTTTACTTTATATCTTTAATGTTACTTGTGAAAGATCATTGAAGTGAAAGGTGATGATTGATAATGACTTGATTTAGTTCGTATAACAGTTTAAGCTTAAAATTATTTATCTAAATTAAAGTGTTTGATTGATTTAAATAGTTTACATGTTGGGTTTGATAAAAACCCACATGATTCATCCATTCATGTGAGATAGGCTCAAACTCTTCTTTGGCTTTTATATTGCATACGAGTTGTTGAACGTTATCACAAGTTTCTTTTTATGGTTACTAGTTTATTGAGGGTTTTAACTGTTTAATTTGAGGTGAGAATTGCAAGCTTAATGAACCTATACTTTTCATCTGGCAGTGACATGTGGGAATTCAGAAAATTATATATGCATCATCAACATAACCTCTCCCAAACTGCAAGTTTGAATTGAACATAATTATTGGTAATTTCGAAAACGAAGTCTACAAAATCTTACAAAGTTCCAATGCTGGGATGTGTGTATTCTTCATTTTGTGTTCAGTTTTTCACTATACTGAACTAAGCTTACATAATTTTCAACATCCTATGGCATAGTGATAAGAATATCGATTTTTCAGCTTTTATCAAAGCTTTAGCTTTCTGTTATCATTTGTTTCTTCTTTCACTGCTTTTTGCAGAATGTAGAAATGAAGATCAAGTCTGTAATATAGCTAAGCTATTAATTTTTTTGATCTCATTGAATACTCCTTTATCAATTTGGAGAATAAAGAATCATGTCTTCCCAATAGCCCTGCTGGTGTGTCATATTCAGCTATTCTTCCTGTTTAAGGACAAGGAATTAGAAGCAACGTACAAAATAAAGAGATCTAGGTGCATTAAAATTTTACCTTCATTCAAGACCAAGACAAAATCACTATCAATGACTCTGTGGATTCTGTGAGCTATCGTGATGACTGTTTGATTTCTGAACTCTTGACTGATAATCTTTTGCAACACTTCATCTGTTACTGCATCAAGTGATGTTGTTGCTTCATCCAGAACAAGAATACTGCTTTTCTTCAACAAGGCCCTTCCAAGACAGAAAAGTTGCCTTTGACCAACACTCCAGTTTTCTCCATTTTCAACCACTGTAAAATTAAACTTAATACATTAGTATGTTTCAACAAGGAAATATGCCTAAACATTCTACTTCTTATCATGAAAATTTCTAGTCTAACCTGTAAATTCTAGTTTCTCTGGCTTTGCACGTACTATATTGCCAAGTTGACATTTGTCCAGAGCCTGACAAAAGAAGTCTTGACTACATTATTTCACTGACCCAAATAACTATTTTGCAATACCGTGTGCAATACATACCTCCCAGATTTCAGTATCAGAGTATTGTGAAACTGGATCTAGGTTTCCTCTAACTGTTCCCTCGAACATTGTTGGATCCTGAGGAATAATACTAAGCCTTGACCTCAAATCATGAAGGCCAATCTTGCAAATATCGACATCATCAATAATAATGCTTCCTTCTTGGGGTTCTATAATACGGAAAAGAGCCTGAATGAGGGTTGATTTACCACTTCCTGTTCTGCCCACAACACCAAATTTCTTACTTCCTGGCAATGTGCATGTTATGTTTTTCAAAACAGAAGGGAGGTGTTCAGCATAACGTATCTGCAGATAGACGTACAATGATAATATCGGTGGGTGGAAATTCAATCAATCTAAAAACACATGTAAACAAGTACATAATATTCCTGTCAGTTTTTGGGTAAATATAGCTTTATTCCTTGCATCCTCATCATTATAGGAATAGTGAAGACATACTAGAACCACAAAAATTGTACAGGATTTTCTCAAAGCCTTACAAGTTTTTGAATTGTCTAGCATCTTTGACATCTGTTACTATTGGATGATATCCTATTGCGTTATAGTGAACTTCATAATCAAGTCTAGTTCTATCTAAGCTATGAAACACTCTCTTTACCTGCAAATTTTGGAAGGAAATTGTACCAGTTTCTGGCCAAGTGATTGATGGTCTTCTATTTTCAATCACAAGAGGTGCTTCACTGGCAAGGTTAGAGTACTGGAGAATCCTTTCAACTGATATCATTTTGTTTTCAACATAGCAAATGTTCCATATAACTGAAGCTTGTAAAACATTCAAATTGATCCCGTATGTTACTGCTAATCCTGCAATGCCTGTAGAATATAAAGCTATATCAGTTTCCTCTGATTTATTTTATGAAATTGAACCTCTTAACACCTTACACTACCACTACATTAGCAAAAGAAAGCGAGAAAAGAAACTTCTGATAAACTTGACTTTCTTAAGAAACATGACTTTGGTGGATAACATGCTTTTTCCATCTTTAGATCCTACCTGTGCTCCACATAACAATATAAAGATAAATAGTTTCTGATGCTTACTTGGATTTATGATTCCTTCGGGGAGTGTGACTAGCAGAACAAGGGAGAAGGCGAAAACAAAATTAGCTAGTTGGTTGAGTCTAAAATAAAGCCATTCCATTGCGGATACATTGTGAAACCATGGCCTTGAATGACCATCTATGAGACAAAGGTTTGCATGTGCAAATCGATCTTTTTGGTTGAAAGCACGAATTGTTGTTGCTCCTGCGAGTGATTCTGCAAAGTGATGGAGGATCGGAGCTCTTTGAACTCCATATAATCGAGCAAGCTCCCTTGCGGTTGGTATGTAGTATTGCTGGTATTTTTGACAATAAAATCTTTAAATTACATTATGTTAAAATTATAAAGAAAATTTTTGGAATCTTAAACAAATATAGAGTTTGTTAATCCTTTCATCTTCAAACTATTAAATGTACCAATATTTTCCCAAACATCACTCACTAATGTATAAAAAAAAATCTTTTACATGGTAGCTAAATGGGAAATGCTTATTTTAGTAGAGTACTTTGCCAAAACAAGACAACAACTTCTTGTTTTAATTTATTGAGCATTCGAAGATTAAACATGTACTGCATACCTACCTGGTACCAAATGCAGACTGCTGTTACTGGAATAAAGATGACAAATACTTCCCATGCGGCATGCGACATGACTGCAATTGTCCCAAGAAGCTGAATAATGGAGAAGGCACACAAACCCAACTTGTTTGCCATTTTCAAGTCTAGAACACTTTGGTCTATCGATGCCTGTTCATGTAATAAGATATGTCTTGATGATTGATTCAATAGGATTGCATGAATCAACTGAATTATAACCTTTAATTCTAGAGGTTATAGCAAGTATATCGACCCTTCACTTTGCTTTTGTCATGTTTTTATCCTGTCTACCTTAGTATTATATTTCT